TGACATGTCTGGTTTCACAAGATGCTCTGTCCGGCATGAGACATGCCATCTGGATGCTGTTTTCTACAGCCTGAGCAAATTCAGATAACCTGCAGTTTACAGAGCTCTGGCTCAATCCTGACCCTGCCCAAGTTTCCTTCAGTCATTTATTTCACAGTGCCAACATCTCCTGTGAATGCCAGCAAAGCTGCAGCCCTGTCCATGTCCCCATGGCACATACCTGGAAAACTCTGGCCTGAGTTTTCCAGAGCAGAGGTAGCATCCCTTCCCTGTCCAGCAACTGGAAGGAGCACTGGAATGCTACACTCAGTGCAGAGTGTGGGATGCTCCCTATACACCTCCATTTGGTATTTCCCTTCTTCCTGGCACAAGTGCCCGTGTGGGCATGAAAATGAGTACTCTCTTTCTGGGGTGGTTTTGTGCTCCTGCCCCAAGGTACAGGACAAGGCTGAGACCTGGCAGGGAAATGGTCCCTGTGTGTTTCAGCACCCTGGCCCATGGCACAGGGCAGACTCTGCTCCCAAGGTTAGGTTGCACAGGTTAGGAGGATGCCGTCCCTGGGATGGGGTCCAATGCTTGGCGTGGGTGACGATGTAGTTGTTTGCATGTGTCATGGAGGGAAGTGTGTGAATGGGATAAATTTAGCAGTCAAAACACAGGGCCAGCACAGTCCGCCATTAACTGCCCTCCCGTCTCATCATCCTGCAACCACAAGGAGCTTTTTTAGGGCCAGTGTCCTGGCGGAGGCCAGAGGAAGCGTGGGAGGCCAGTTCCCGGTGACACCTCCAGGTGCAGCAGCACTGCCGGTGGTGCCATTGGCTGCCCCCGGCCCGGGGCTGGCACTGAGCAGCAGTTAAATGCCTGCCCGGCCACCCTGTGACATACAGCCCGCAGCATTCCAACACAGGCAGCCAGTTCATCCCTTCCCCAGCACCACAGGAGACACAGGCTTGCATCACACCTTGAGGTAAAGGTCTTGGTTTCTTTGGGTTGATCTGGCATTACCTGGAGGGAAAATGGCAACGTTTGGGAAAAGGGGTTGAAGATTTCCTCACAAGTTTTGGTTGAAAGCAGGAGGCTTATCATCTGGGATGTAGGTGTTGCTTTGTCAGGGAAGAAATCAGAAGTGTGCTCATTCCAGCATGTTATGGGTGCAGGGTGATGTTCAGTGTGTTTAGTGTATCCCATAGGGATGAGGTGCTGGGTTGCTTAAAGAAAATTCTTGGAAAATGAGAGCAGAGCTGAAGGAAAGCTCCCACTGCTTTATCTGCCTGCCAGGCAGCAGTGCTGCTGGGGTGCCCACCCAGAGGGCTATGGAGATGCAGCTCTCTGAGGTGTTATCTCATTGGGATGCTCCACTTTGGAATGGTGGGAGATTTTATGAGGCTGTGGGGACCACTCCAGGTGGGAGGTGCAGCTCTGCAGCCCATGGTCTCACAGTGCTGCCCATCTGAGGTGCAGGCTCCTGTCACAACCACTGAGCTCAGCTGGGTGGTGACATTACTATGGGAACAGAAAACTCAGGAGAGCTTTCCTGCTCCTTAATGATGCTCAGACAAATAATCTGCCAGTACATAGCTGGGTATTTCAAATCCCAAATTAAAGGGAGGTTTCTGCACAGGAGGTGCCAGGAGGTGGCACAAGGACAAATCCCTGGCTTGTTTGATGATGCACCAGGCTGAGCACTGTGATTTGGGAAGGCTTTGTGGGGCCAAGTTCCAGCCAGAGGCACATGCAAAGGCTTTGCTCTAGCCTGCAAATATTGCATTCCTTGTTGCAGCCACAGGGACGACTGACATGAGGGCTGCATTCCTAGTGCTGCTCCTCTGGGCTGTGGCCTGTGCTTACCCTGTAAGTACTCCCTGGACTGACACTTCCACCCCAAACCCCTTGGTTTTGCCCAGCCAAGGCACACTGATCACTGATCAAATTGTCTCCCGGATGTGTTTAGGTGCCTGGCCATGAACCCACCCACCCCAGCGCCCTGCAGGAGGTAAGCCACAGGTGCCCCTGTCCCACAGGGAGCAGCCCCTCAGGGGGCAAGTCTGGGATGGGGAGCCAGCCCTGGGCAGGCATCCTTGGACCAGGTAGCTAGGAGTGGTCTGCTGCTTCTCTGGGTCTTTGAGCTTGTCTGTCTGCTCAGTCTTCTCAAGCTGGGTTGGTTTCACCCTGTTCTGACTTGCCTCCCTGAAAAAGTTCCCAGTTCACCTGACACCTTTTGCTGTGCTGGCCCTGAAAAAGGAGTTTCTGTGCTCTGAATTAGCGCAGCTTGGGCTTTTCTGGGCTGCCCTTTTGTTGGTGGGTACCATTTTATTTTGTATCTGCAGAAACAACTAAAGGGCTGAGGTGCAAAAATTAGAAAATACTTGAGCTCTTGCATGGCTTGGGAATGAGGTCCTGCAGCAGCAGCAGTAAACATGCTGTGGTTGGTGTTTAATAAATCAAAAGCACGATGTCATGTTTTGCCTGCAGGATACTGCAAATGAAGGTTACATCGGCAAGCTGGGCAACCACCTAGATGGTGGGGATGGCAGACATCCTCCTGCCAGTCCAGAGACAGGGGAAAATGCACTTTCCAGGGACCTGGCAGGTGGGAATGCTGTGGATGAGGAGCTGGGTGAGCTCAGTGGCCAAGATGTGGGAGACCAAGTTGGGCAGGCTCAGCACGTGAACCAGGTGGACCATGAAGACATGAGTGCCAACAATGGGAATGACCTTGGTTTCCTGGTGAGTGAGTGAGTGGAGAGGAATGTTTTGCTCTGCCAGGAAAGCTCCCTTGGCCCCAAAACTGGCATTGGTCAAGGCTGTGCTTGGCTTTGCATTCATCTGTTTGTCACCTCCATAGGAGGCGGATGCACGTGACACTGATGACGCTGACAATAGAGACCACTACGGCACCAGAGCCAACGGGTTTCCCTCCCATGGCGGCGGGTTCCTGGATGAGGAGGATGACAGTGGGGACGACACCTTCGATGCCAACGAGGAAGAGGAGAGGGATGAAGGCCCTACCTATGTGGCTGGTGCTAATGGGGCAGGGGAACACGAGCATGATACTGGCCATGGGGATGCCGGGGCTGGTGTGGGGCACAGCAGCAGCAGCAGCAGCGAAAGCACTGGGGCAGACCACCAACGCTACAGGAACTATGGCTTTGGGCACACCTACAGGCACAGAGGGGCCAGCAGCAGCAGCCAGGAGGTGGAGAGCTATGACTTCCAGGATGAAGCCATGCAGGGGGATGATCCCTCTGTCTTTGACGGCCCAGGCAGCAGCTACAGGATGCGCCACACTGGCCCCCGTGCTCTGGGGAACAGTGGGGAGAGTGCCCAGGGGGCTGGCTCCCACCACTGGGAGGAGGGTGACAGCAGGTCCCCTGAGGTGGAGGACGGTGACTCTGGAGAAGACAGCCCATCTGTGGAGAACAACAGTCAGTCAGAAGAGCCTGTTGACAGCCAGTCAGAGGAAAAAAGCTCCAGCCACTCCAAGGAGGATGGGGATGGGGATGGGGAGGACAACCCCTCCAGGAAAGATGAGGACAGAGAGTCCAGGGAGACCACTGATGAACAGTCAGATGAAGAGCCAGGGGAGACCCCAGAGGTGGTAAGAACCTTGAATGAGCACAGCAACAGTCAAACCTGGGAAGGTCAGGAGGACTGGGATTCTGCTGAGGGCAGGAGTGTGCTGTCTACACCTGACAGTGAGTCCAGGGAAGAAGAGGGTGAACTGAGCAAGTCCAGGGAAGATGAAGATGACCAGAGCCATTCCACAGAGGACACTGTGGAGGAGTCAGAGGAGGATGAGAATGACTCTGTGCCAAGCACATCAGCTGAGAGCCCAGAGTTGCCAGAGGATGAGAGCAGCCCAGAGGACAACACAGGTGAGGACAGCAGGTCCACAGAGAGCGACAACAGCGAGTCCCAGGAAGATGAGGATGATGCGGAGAGCCACTCCCAGGAGGATGCCACCCGTGAGTCCAGCAGCCACGGGGACGACAGCTCCCTGCAGAGCCTGGAGCACGGAGGCCGCAAGCAGCGGCTGGGCGCCCTCCGCCTCAGACCTGCTGCTGACTATGATGACAATGACTGCCAGGACGGGTACTGACCTGTGCCCCGTGGCCTCAGGGGCATGGAGGGTGTGGGGGTAGAAGGGGTTAATTTATTTGCCATATAGACTGGTTGACTTCTTCTCAAGAAGGTGCTGTGGTTAAAATGGAGTCAGGTTTGCCAGGGCTAGGCCTGGGCATGCTACACAGGGAGTTAAAGTGTTGCCAGTCACAGGGAGAACACAGAACCACAGCAAAAAAGGGTATTTTCTGTATCAAACTGGAGAGCAGCTGAGAGCTGTGAGTGCCAGCAGGGTGATGCTGCCCACTTGTCCCAGGGGCACAGTGGTGGCTTGGCACTCCTGGGGATGCTGGGCAGGTCCCTGTGTTCACCCCTTCTGTTTACTTACCACTGCCCTAAACACATCTGCCTAGACTCCAGTTGGAGCTTTCCATTAACTTTATGTCCAGCACATAAAAGGGAAAAGCTACAGCTGGTGTGCACATGTGGTGCATGGGCACAGCAGGGTGTGACGTACCACTTCAGGATGGGATGTATGTAATATTTTTATTATTTTGTAAGAAATGTACAGAAAACATTATACTGTATCCTTTTTGCACTTGTATTTCAAAGCTGAAATATACCCTGTTGATTTCTTTAATCACCATTAAAACCACCAAACTCCACTGTGGTTTGAGGTGTTGCTGTTTTTTTCTCCTGGGTGTGTCAGGGTCTGCAATTTGGGGCTGGACCAGAAGGAACGGGAAGCAAAGGGCAGGATATTTGTGTGAGGAGCCACAGCATGCCGGGACGAGGGGGAAAGCAAAAGCTGAGGATGTTCCCACTCCCTCTATTTCCAGGTGCCCCAAAGGCCACCCCTGCCCCTTGGTGAACCCGCAGTGGGGTGGAAAATCTGGCTGATGACCCCAGTGAGCTGGGCCTGAGGCTTTGCTATATTAGAGTCATCACCTGCACCCTCAGCAAGGGTTGTGCTGCTCTTCCTGAGGTGCTGGAAAGGTGTCCCAGGTCATGAGGACTCTTCTGGTCCACTGGCTTTGTGTGCCCATGATGGCTCCTGGTACCAGGTTCCCTGCAGCAGAGATGCAGGTAAGCAAGGTAAAGGTGTTACCATGTTACCATGTAAAACCTGTTTTACTCTATGTGACATTTAGTTGGTTTTTTTCCTCCTATCAGCAAATAAACAACATGTTATTTAAAATCACATTATTTTAAATGCCACCCAGGCCCTTCTTCCTTGTTCACATGTGCAAGACAAGCAGTACAATGTAGGTTTCGATGCTGAAGGTGAAGCTGTTGTGTCACTATGCAGTTTTACAGCATGGAGTTGTGGCTCTGCAGGGGACACTCCCCAAGGGGCTAGGGTGAGTGAGTACATTCCCTTCAGCTGTCAAGTCTCAGGGGTACTGCTGAGCATTGCAGTACCAAATTCAAGAACCAGTAAAAAAATGAAATCTTTTCCTGCTACTTATAGCAGAACCACACTTAATTTGTAGCCTGTTTCCAATGAAGGCTGGGAGCTGAACAGCTCCTGGTTTTTATGGAAATTATGTTTTAATTTTCACCCTGTGTAAACCTTTTTCTGCTTCTGTATGAGACCAGCTCTGAAACTTGTGGCTTCCCCATGCTGCTGCTTTGGGAATGAGCCTCTTTCCTGACTCTTCATCCCACTAGTCCCACTTCACTGTGAATACCTCAGCTGTGACCTGGCCCTTATTTTTTGACCCCTCATATCAGTTGTGTGAATAGCTGGGGATACTGTGATGGCAGTGATGCCTGTCAGGGACATGAGCACCAGAATTCTGGAGTGCAGCTCCACCACTGGGGTGAAAGACAGCAAGGGCTATCTTGGGTTTGGCTGCAGCAAAAAGGTCTGGGTCACATCCCTGTTGCTGTAGTTTAAAGTTGTAGTAATGACTTGTTTGCTGCTGCGGGGCAGGCAGGAGCTCTCCTGTGACCAGCAAATGGTGCTGGCTGCTCAGGCAGCGGCGCTGTTCTGGTGCCGCCTCTGTCACAGGGCTGGCTCACATCCCGGGGGCCATCGGAGGTGATGTTCACGTAGCCACAGCTGCTGGTGGTGGGGATAGCGCAGTTGTTTTCGGATCCCTCCAGGAAGAGGCGTGCAGCTCGGCCGTGAGCCCAGCCTGCGAGGACAGTCGAAATGTTTCAGGAGTGGGGTGAAACTGCTTCTCGCAAATTGGACACAGGTCCATGACCCTGTGTCCATCTTCATCCTTGTGGGAGTGGTACTGTGGTGCACAGCAGCCTGGCACAGCTGGGCAGGGGACTGCGTGTCCCCATCCTCCTCATTTCATGCATGGAGAGAAAAAATGGATTGATATGAGTTTAGTGTGAGCAGGAGGCACAAGTGCCTTGCAAACAGGGCCAAGGGTATCTGGCTGTGTGTTCCTGGGGACGTGCTGCCACTGCACTCGTCTCCTGGCCAACAATGCCCAAAACTTGCCTCCTGCTGGCTGGCTGCTCCCCAAAAGCCAGGGAGCTGGTGCCAGAGCTGACTGCTGCCTGCCGGTGCTGCCAGGACAGCTTCCCATGGGACCATCCCTCCTGGGCATTGCCCTTCTCTGGGAAAACCTCCTGCTTGGCCTCAGGGAGGGAGCCACTCATGTTGGGCCCACGCAGGGATTTGCCCAGAACCTGTCAAAGGACTTCTGCAAGGTTTTGGGGGACACTGGTGGTATTGGACTATTCCTATCAAATGCTGTTCATCTGTGTATAAGCAGGGCCACCCTGCTTGACATCTGGAAGGGCTTGATGATAGGCAGGACTTCACAGGTGAGGTTTTGGATGGGCAGAGGGAGTGTGACCAAAAGATGCTCTTTGGGAGGATTTAAAGGCATTTTTAGGAGTCTATATATTCAGGTTTTGTGCCATGTGTCTGTGCACCGTGAGCATTGGAGGGGGAAACTCCTGCTCTCTGGTGTTGGGCTGGCAGGACAAGCAGCTGGGAAGGTCAGCCACAGGCTACGCCATTGCTGGAGATGTTCCTGCCTCCAGTTTCAGGATGATTATGTGATGAAGTTGTCAGATTCATTTTTCCTGACTGGTTAGGCAGGAATAAAAAATGCCCATGTCAATGTATGCTTTTATTATCCACCCACATGACATTCTTTGTGCATTGGGGGTGGCCTCCAGAGCTGAATGCAGCAATTTACCCAGAAACCAGCATTGGGGTTTAAAGCAGGTATTTTTGGATCCATTTGGGTTTTTGAAAACACGAGTTTGCATAATCTTAAAATAAAGGTTTCTTGTGGGTTTGGTGGGGTTTTTTTGGGTTTTTTTTGGAGGGTGGTTTTTTTTTTTTTTTTTTTTTTTTTTTTTTTTTTTTTTTTTTTTTTTTTGTACTAAGAAGAAAAAATTCTATTTTTAATAAGTAGCTTGTGTGGCTGAAGGCTGAAGTAGTGGGAGGCAGCAGTGCTGAGCCTGGCTGTGGCAGCTGAACTTGGGACAGCCACAGCATAAAAGCTGTACTTATTCAACCTCATTATTTTCCTGGATTTGGTGGGAAAAGCAAAGAGACCCCTGCACTTGCAGACCACCTCTCTATCCAGCAGTGGCTTTTTTGACAGTGCAGACAAATTTCCTGGGATTCCCATGGTGATCTGAGTTCCACAGCTGGCTGCAGGTTTTTCCTTGGCCTGTGTTTGTCTTTACCAAAATAGGAATATCTGTGGAAGAAACAATGATAGAATCACAGAACGGTATTGGTTGGAAGGGACCTTAAACACCATCTCAATCCAACCCCCTGCCATGGACAGGGACACTAGACCAGGTTTCTCAAAGCCCCATCCAACCTGGTCTTGAACACTCCCAGGGATGGGACACCTACTACTTCTCTGAGCAACCTGTTCCAGTGCCTCACCACACTCACAGCAGAGAATTTCTTCCTAGTATTGAATCTATACTTCTCTCTCTCAGTTTGAAGTCATCTCCCCCCTTGTCTTGCCTCTACATGCCCTTGTAAGAAAATTCTCTTCCTCTTTCTTGTAGGCTCCCTTCAGGTCTGATGGGATTGTCTCGTCTATGCCCCCTGTGATGTAATTCTATTGTGGGAACCACTCCTTTCCAAGCACACAGTGGAGCTAGGATAGTTTGATTGCGTTTCTCTGCCCTTTTCAATGGGGAGGAAAAACCTCTGACGGAATTACTGAGGCCATCAATCTGAACAAAAGAAATATCCCAGACGTGGGAAAACAGCCTTTGACCTCAGTGAAACCCCAAAATGCTGCAAACCTTTTGAATGCTCAAAGGACATTTTTCTTCCAGCTCTCTTTACTGCCATGCATTTTGACGGTAACTAACTTTCCCATCCCTGGCTCAGCCATGTCCTGGGAGTTTTGTGGTCTCCCCCGCACTGCCCCAAGTGGAGCCAGGCACCACAGGATGGTACAAGTAAAGTGTAAGTGTTAGCATCCACCTGTACTGCATTCCCCCAGCTCATGATGGAAACCTTAAATCCTCCCGTACTGCACTCCCCAAATTCATGATGGAAACCTTCAGAGTGAGCAAGTGGTTTGCAGTTCAGTTTTTTCCTGTTTCCTGAAATGCAAAGCTGCAAAGAGCTGCTGTATTTTAGCAGAAGGCATCAGGTTACTTACTGAACACAGGGGCTGAAACTGTACCTGGGGGGCCAAGGCAACACCTGCCCTTTCTGTCCTAGACCTGATGTTGTTTCACCTGCAGAGCAAAAAGTAGTTTCGCAACAGTGTGAAAACTTTGCAAAGCCACCTTTTAAAAAAAGGAAATGAGTGCCTGAGTGCTAAGGCACTTTTTGCAGAAAACATGTACTTTATGTATTTAGGCCAGTTTGGATGGGGCTTTGAGCAACCTGGTCTAGTGGGAGGTGTCACTGCCCATGGCAGGGGATTGGGACTAGATGAGATTTAAGGTCCCTTCCAATCCAGACCATTCTGTGATTCTGTGATATGTGGATACATACATCACTCTTGTGGAACTCATGTGTGTACACAATAACAAATAACCAGTTCAAGAGCAGCAGCTCCTGCTGACACACACAGCACACTCTGCCTCTGCTGCAAGTGGGGCCTTTTTAACGCCAGACTCAGGGGTTTTACCAAGTTAGAGCAGTGTGTGCAGTAACAGGGAGGTAGACAGCCATCACCAGTGCAGCACGGAAGCAGTGTGCTTCCACACCATCCAGATGCCTGAAGGTCCAGGGACACTGATTTAACTTTGTTAGAGAGCTCAGTTCTTGAGCTGGATGTGCAAGCAGTTGGTTGTTACTTCTGCAATGAATACAGGCTATCTTCCTGCTTGCCTCCTGAAAAATGAGGCCTTTTGGGGGGTTTATTTGGCTTTTTCTCCTGAGGATGTGTTTGAGAGCTCTCACATGTAGATGGAGGCAGAGACAGCTGGGGAGACCAGACCTGGTAACTTGCTCTGGCAAGTGGAGTGAGGAGTTTCTTGTTCCTGAAAAAAAGAAAAACAAACAAACAGAGGAGATCCAATATACAGATATTGCTCAAACACGTGAGGGCCTGGGTGGTGGCAAGTCTGGGATTTGCGATAATGCTGCAACCTAGCCTCAGTGATTTGCTGGCTTTGGTTCCCAGAGTTCAGGGTGCTTCAAAGTGCTCACATTACAGAGCTACTCCTGACCTGCATTTTGCCAGGAAATAGAATTAATTTCATTTTTATGGTTTCTGCTCAGAGAAAAAGGAAAATCATGCAAAATGTTCAATTGCAGAGGGCCAATATATAAAGGTTGTGTACTGATAATGGAGACTGATACAAGGTGCATTTTAGATATTCTCCCCTCACACTTTTATTCTAAAATTGGATGTTGGCAAAAGGATAATGAGCTGTGTGTGCAGCTGATGCTGGTTTGCATTTGTGTTTGTGCTCTGAGAGGTAAGGGGAAAGAAAGGCATTCCTGATTCTTATGCTGTTGCTCCCTCTTCTTGCTCACCACTTCCCTCCCCAGCTGGTGACTGTGGCACACACACTCCTGTCCCTGACAGTATGTGGGGAGAGCTGGAAGCCAGGGCAAGCTCTGCCAAAGGTGACTCCTATATAGGTTTTGGGGGTGCCCTGGCCACTGAGCTGCATGGCAGGGGTGCCCCTTTCCCTGGCTGCAGCAGCACCTTTGTCTCTTCCCACCATGCTCAAAGAGTCCTTCTGGTTTTGTTTTCTTTACTTATTTTTGGCCCTGAGGTTTCCTTTCAGAATAGCTGCAGGGCATGGAAATAGGACGGTGTGGCCTCAGCCCTGCAGTGTGCCCGGGTAGAGCAGGAGCACTCTGTTCTGCTCATTTACTGCCCTGCAAAAATAATAAGTAAATTTGGACTTAGGAGCCATGTCAGCCTGAGCCGCACTGGGACACTCTGACCCTGAGGTCCTCAGGGGCTCAGGCAAGTACACCCAAACTGTAAAGGGTGCCCTTGCTGGGTGCAAGCTGCAGCACAAAGCTGTGGCCAGCGGCTGGTGCAAACCCCACCTTCCACTAGACCATGCTGATTAAAACCCCATCCTTTGGAGGCAGATAAGCTGTTCTATGTTTTGTTTCCAGCAAGGTGATATCATTTAATAAAGCTTTCAAAGTCTGCATTTGCTTTTAATAACAGATTCCTTTCAGACAAAAGGGTGATCCCTCCAAGCCCTGCCACCTTGGAGAGATGGAGTTCTTGCAAAAGCATTAAGAGACCAATGCTCCACACCTGCCATGTGATGATTTTGAAGTAGTAATAAAAAATAAATTTCAAGTGAAAGTGTTTTGGATGTTCTGGCTGAGTTCCTTGCTGGTCTCCCACCATGGTGCCAGTGAGGTTGCTGCTGCTGGTAGCCTGCCAGGACAGCACCCACTCCAGGAGCTAAACATAGGTGCTGGCTGCACAAGGCACTTCAGCACATGTTAATTATCCTGGTGCCTTTTAGGGATCTTGGGTGAAACATGTTTTTATAGTCAGTTTTCCATATTTTTTTTTAAGCAGACTGGAGCAGAGGCCCTTTAATTACATTAAAAATCGCCTCCCACCAGGACTCTCTGTTCCCAAGCCCTGATGAAACTTTAAGCTCAAAGCCAGGCACATGCTCACGGCTTTCCTAGGCCAGGCAGCTTAGGACAGCAGGGGACAATGGGAAGCAGGGTTGTCACTGCCCTGAATGCACAGCAGGGCAGCCCCTCCAGCTGCTCCAGCCCCATGGAGATGGGAGGACATGGGAATCCTTATCCTCACAAATGCTGATCTGTCTCTTTATCAAAGGCTGCTGTGTTGGCACCAAAGAACTGCATGGCTGAGGTGCTTTTGTGTTGGTTTTTTTTTTTAATTTGTTTGGGTTTTTTTTTGGTTTTTGGGGTTTTTTTGTGTGTGGCTTTTCCTGGCACAAGGTGTCAGCTGAAAGCCATGGCCAGCTCCAGGCCTCCCTTATAATTAGGACTTCACAGTGACACAAGGGGCTTTGCAGCCCATGGGGGCAGCTGTGCCCTGCAGCCCCAGGGGCTGCATGGTGGGCATGTGGCATGGTCTGCTGCCAGGGGTGCTGGACCCTTGGGGAGCTATGGGGGACCTCTCCCTCCCCAGAAACAACTTATGTGCATAGTGTTCTATCAGCAATTATCAGCTCCACATCATGTACCTGTCAATGATGGGCTTCCCTGCATGTAATTGAGGCTGTTTTTACCCCTAGTTTTAAGAAGAAACATTCAGGCATTTCATGGCAAAGTAGATTTTTCTGTACTTAATAACCATAGTTTTACCACTGACTAAGCTGACCCTTACAGATCTGCCTGAAGGCATTTATTTTTCAGCACCTCTCTTCCTTCTCCTAGGGCTGTAGGGCTGAAAGCATCAAGTGGGATTTGCAGCTCTCCTTGCCACTTCAGGAAGCGAAGTTGCATTTGTTGAGGAGTCATTCCCTGAACTGCTGCAGCCCAAATGTGCAGGAGCTTAGGGGCCTTTGCTGATGAGTGCAAGAAAAATGGGAAAGAGGAAGCAGAGGTGCACTGGAGAGCTGGGTGGATGAAATCCAAGCAGGAAATGATAAATATAGGTAAAGGAGAAAAGACATCCTTGCAGAGGTGGGTGCTGGGGGCAGCATCTGCTTGCTGTATCCTGTCACCAAGATCCCCAGCGTGATTTGAGTGCACATGTGGGTGAGGTTTTTTCATTTTCCCCCCACTCCCCGGCAGTTATTCTGCTTTGCTGGGGACATACACAGATTTCAGCTGAACAATGCCTAATTTTTGAGAGCAGGGGACTGGGCTGGCCCCTGTGTGGGTCTGCGTAGTTTGCAGGGCTTTAGAAACAAAGCAGACCTGCATTTTGTAGCAACACTGTGGCAGAAATGACTCTCAAAGAGGCACTGAGTGACACCTGTATCTGAGTCCCCTTTTCTTTCCCTTCCCTTACCAAGGCCTCTGCAGGCATCCTGGAGGGGGATTATTTTTGGATTTAGCTTTTTTTTTGGTCTAACGGCTCTGCACAAGTGTCTGTGGGGCCGGGCCTTTGAGGTCGTTCTTTCTGTCTACTTGAAAAAACAGTGACAGGATTTCCCAAAAAGGGAGGTGGACACCCCCCAGCAACAGATTTCCCAATATTTATTTTAATTAAAACCCAGAGTGTTATTATATCCTCAGCCTCCCAGCTGCACATCTGAGGCAAGACCCTCAATTAAATGGCGCAGTGCAAACCTCGCTGGGTTTGGCAGCGGCACAGGGCGCTATGTTTGTTCACCAAATCTGCCAGCGTTGAAGTTTTGGAGGGGTTTTGGTGCATGCTGGAGAGCTGGCGTCACTCCAGGCAGGGCGGTGACTGGCTTGGGGGGGGCAAAGCCAGACCTTATATCCCAGCAGGGCAGCAGTGGGAGGAAATCTGTGCCGGCTGACTCCTCCATGGTTAGCTCTTGGTGCTGGGGCAGGGTAAGCTTGCTGCTGCTTTTCCCAGTTGGGTTGTGCATTGAAGTCTGCTTTTTGCAGGGAGATGGGAGGGTCAGCTTACTGGCAGGATTGGGGTGCTGCTTTTAGTCTTTTCCTGGATCTGTGGCTTCATGAAGTGCTTGGGTGGAGGGGGTGAGCATCCAGAACCTTGCTGCAAGGTCAGAGAGACTTGTGGCCACTTGTTTTATAGCCTGAATTAAGCAAAAATAAGGAAACTTCAAGCACAGATAAATGTAATAACAATTCTCTACAAGCACAGCTGATACTGGGTTTAGGCAGAGGAAGGGTAGGAGAAAGGAAGGTTAGTGGGCCTGACTGAGCTCAGGGGTATGCTGGAAGAATTGTTCCCTGGGGGAAGGCTGGGGTGCTGCTGGAAGGATTGGGTGTGCTCCTTTCTCCTTGATGCAGGAGGGCAGGCTGTGTTTTGGTGCTTTGGGTGTGCAGTTGAGACCTGCCCAGAGCTAAGTCCCCTCCAGCGATGCCTGTGGGGGGGCTCTTTGCATTGGTGCCTTGCCACTGCTATTTTTGCCAATGGCAGGCTGTGAAGCCAATTACTTCCATTATTTGTTTGCTTATTTGTTTTTCCTCAGTGAGGTTACACTGTCTGTGGAGTAATTCCCAGGAGCACTGCTTCCTGGGCAAAGCCCAAGCAGGTCTTGGAGCTATGGAAGGGTGGCTGCAGTGGGCAGTGCTCCCAGCTGCTCCTGTTGCATCTCCAATGGGGCTTGGCTTTCTCCCCTCCCTTAAGGGCAATAGGGAAAAAGGAATAAGTCATTCTTCTCCAGGAAAGCTTTGAGTTCACTACATGGTGAAACTTGCTTTTCTGGTATTTTGTGGCTTCTAAAAAAACCCCAAAATTCATGGAAGTTGAGGCAGATCTTAAAAAAAAAAAAAAAAAAAAAAAAGAAGAAAAAGAAAGAATTGGGTCTACGGAGGGGTTGGGTGACCTCACCAAGAAAGGCTGGAAGTCAGCCTTTCTTCTCCCCAGTCACCCACGTGGACACAGACATGTGGATGGTTTGGAGTGGTGTTGGTGCTTTCTAGCTGAAAAGCAAGCCCTCAATGTGTTTTGGTGTTCCTAGAAACAGCAACCATGAGGAGTGTCCTGGTGTTTGTCTGCCTGGTGGGGATGGCGTGCACCTTCTCGGTGAGTGCCAGGCGAGGGGGGACCTCCTGGCCTTGCCAGGGCTGCTGTGGGGCATGTACCAACCCACCCTTTCCCCCAGGTCAAGAGCTGGCTGCGGCAACCCAAGTGGGGTGACTCAGAAGAGAACGCGGTAGGGTCTCCCCCACCCCGCGTGCCTAGTCCCACATGGGGCTGATCTTGAGGAAGAGCACATTTTGGTGGCTCCTGTACCCAAGGTCCCAGACTGATGGGATTTTCCCCCTCCTTCTTCTGGTAGGTTTTCAAGAGCCGGCACCGGCATTACCTGTACAGATATATCTATGTGTATCCCCCGCAGCGACGGTACCAGGTGGGTGCTTCCGAGGGGTTGCTGCTGCTTTGTCGCCCTCCAAATGCAGAGATTTTGGCCAGATGAGATGGGGGCATGGTCTGTGCCCTGTAGGCATGGCCTGTGGACCTGTGCACAGGACATTGTACTCATGACACCACTGGGAACCCACCCACCCGCCTCCAACTTGGTTTTTTCTCTTTTTAGGGTAGTGACTCATCTGAGGAAGAGGGGGATGGCTCGGAGGAGGAGGAAGAGGGGGTGAGTATGGCAAACCAGTAGTCTGCAAAACAAATACGGGAATTTGGGAACTTTCTTTGGTTTTGTAGTCTCTGCTCATCAGCATTTGTGGTCACTGACTTCCCACAGGCTTGCACTCTGGTTACAACTGGATTTTCTACTCTGGACTTTTTTTTTTTTTTTTTTTTTTTTTTTGTCGATATTTTCCTTTTGCTTTCCTTTTTTTTCCTGGGCAGGGGTTGTACCAAACAACCCTGAGACAAATTCTTTTGGTTTCCGTTTCCAGCAGCTCAGAAAGGAGCAGGACAGGCCAAAGGACAGAACCAGGGAGGTTCACACAAGGAAGAAGGTGCTGTTAGGAACTCCTCTTACCTTCCTTTTTCAGGGTCTGTTACCCCTATAGCGCTGAGAATAGCCCTACAGAAAATGCAGTCATGCTCTGCATGTGTGTCTGTGGAGTGACGCAAACTGATGCTATATTGGAAAAGTCAAATTTGTATCAGTCTGGTAAAGCTGCTTCTGTCTGCTGGATCAATGTGGGCTTGGGCACCTCTGTAGTTGTGAGAGCAGCCCAGGTCCAAAATTAAATGTAAGGGATTAAAAAGATCTTTTGTGCCTTATCGGGATGCAAATGCTCAAAAATAGTCCAGTGGTCTCAGGCACACAGGTGCTTTGAAATAAGGATCTGGTATGCTTAGAATCCTGTGTGTCATGCCTAATCAAGTCTTTCATTTTTTTTCTTTTATAAAAGTTATTTAATGAAAGCCAGGGAATCTGGTTTTAAACCCCACTTTGGTGGCCTGTCAGGGCTTGGGATGTAGCATGGGATATGGCCCCTGTGCCAGCCCTGGCACCTCCCTGCAATTTGCCCCATTTTACCTGTTTCTCTCCCCTACCACTGCAATTTCTAGGGATAGATTTGAGCAGTGGGATGGACAGCAAAAGGTGGAATTTCTTTTCTCAGGAAGAAATTAACTGGTTTGCAGGAATGTAGCTGCTCTTTAGGACTGCCCTTTTCATTTTGAGGGCACCAGAGCAGTGGCTGCTCCCATGCAGGGATGTGCCTTCACTGGCAGGGTAGTCAGCAAAATGAATCATGCTCAAAGGCCCCAGGGTCAGTTATATGTATGTAAAAAGCATTATAGAGCATATCAGTATGTAAAAAGCATTATGTTGGCTGCTATATAGGGAGCATTGCTTCCACTGGCACAGCTTGCTGCACAGTGCAATTTGATGGCTCTCCTCTTGGAGAGGAGAGCAGCCTGGTTTTTCTCTGCCAGCATGTGCATCTGTATTTAAATGTCTGAACTGGCCCAAAATGCCAAGGTAGGTGTACTTGGTCTTGGCGTGTGAGCAGCAGGGGTTGCCCAGGGCAGCGATGACACTGACTTCAGGTCTCCCTGCCATGGCTGGGCTCATGTGCTGGTACCAACAAGTTCCACCTCCCAGACTGGGCCCTGGGTGAATTGCCCCACCAGCCCCTCAGTGTCTTCTCCAGGCTCTGTTTGCATTTGAGTTATTCCTTACCCTTTTTTTAGCCTTGCACCCACTGAGAGCCCCGCTCTGCTGCTGATCTCTGGGGCAAGTGTTGCTGATGGCTGATTGCTGGTGGGGTTTGGGCTCATGCCTGGCTTTGAGCCATCACACTCTCACTGACCATCCACACATGATGAGCAATGTGTTCGCATGTAGTGTGCCTGTGGCTTTCTTTGTTTACTGGAAACTGGGGGAGGTAACTTCAGAAGAAAACCTTTAGATGCTTTGCAAAGCAAAATGTGGAGCCAGAAAGGGAACACCCGACTCCAGCCACCACCACGTAATTGCACAGCTCCAGCTGCCCTGCTGCAGCTTCTACATTTCAGCCTGGAACAAGACCCGTGAGAAAGCAGGGAACTAGGAGCAATGCCCAAACACACTGTGTGGATGCACTGTACCCATCTCACTGCAGGGAGGCCTGTGCTCCACTCCAGCTGCTGACCCCCTACCCTGTGTGTCCCTGTCCTTGTAGGAGCCATTTTATGCTGGCACCAGGGCAGCTGGACACCCTGCTGGAGCAGCCCCTGAGGACTGCCAAGGTGCACTTGGAGGAGACGTCACATCCCCCCATCAGGTGTGGTTTGGGGAGATAGAGGGAGCACCCATGGGGAGGGGGCTATTCCCTGCATGTTTGCTTGTACCCATGGGATGCCCTGCACCCTGTTTCTGCTTGGGGGATTGCTGTGGAAATAGCTATAGCTGGACAAAGCTCTGGGCATTAACTTGGGGTTGGAAGGGGTACCCCAAAAAGACAGTCCTGCCAAGAAAGGTGTGGGGGGATGCTCAGCTGTGCCCAGACGTGCCCCTTTCCACGTGGAGCTGCAGCCTCCCGACATCCAAGTAATACTGTGCTGTCTTCCCTCTGCCAGGGCAAGGGCTGCCAAAGGATCAGGCAGAGAACTGGCAGCAAGGGGGAAGACTCTGAAAATGAAGACAGTGATGAGAATGAGGAGGAAGAAGAAGTAGATGAGAATGAGAATGGTGTCAATGGCACAAGCACCAACACCACAGAGGGTATTGGACCTCATGGCAATGACACTATGGTGGCTGAGGAAGGCACTGGTGAAGCTGAGGAAGAGGAGGAGGAAGAAGAAGAAGAAGAAGAGGAGGAGGAGGAGGAAGCTGAAGCCACCACCATTGCAAGCACCACCAACGAAGAGGGTCTGACACAGGCGACCACTATGGATGATGGGGGTCCCATAGATGTCACCACAGATGCCACCACAGCTGGGGGGCTGTGGGAGTATGATGTGACAGCCAGGGACCACAGCCGGGGTGATGAGGGCACCACTGAGGGTGGGTATGAGGAACAGGATGAGTATGCACGCGGGGACAGCTACCGGGCCTACGAGGATGAGTACAGCTACTACAAAGGGCATGGGTACGATGTGTATGGCCAGGATTACTACTACAGTCAGTGAGCATGGGGGCAGTCCTGGTGCTGCCTCTGCCAGCCCCAGCCACTCAGGAAGGTACATTCAAAGGTTCCCTGGAGCCACCGCATGCCAGAGAGGATGCTAGGCAGCTTGCCATGTACATTGGCTCCATCCAAGGCTTTTTTTTTGTATCTTGCAAACTGAAATGAAATGATTAAATGAAATAAAGCAACTGAACTGAGCTTGTTGGTGACAAAAGGTTTGCTGCCCAATTATCTGGGGTCAGTGGAGCAGCACAGCGCTAGGTGAGGGGCTGAGGTGCTACAGTTGCCCATGATGCTTAGGGCTGAATCTTGTTACTCCAGCTCAGATGCAGAAAGGGAGGAACAGCAAGGCTAACTTGGAAAGCTTTGGTAGAGTGCCCTCTGAAAAATGAAAGCGCACTCTTAGGGACACTGCTGTGGGATTACAGCCACGTTTTATGTAAAGTTTATGTCAATTTCCAATATGTGAGCAGTGATAACTTTATCATGTCTTCTGTTCCTTGGTAATGTGCCTCCCATGGCCTGACCACACACCAGGCAATGTTAATAAGGGTAAAAACATTAATTTCTCTTTCTGTGCATCACTAGCTGTAGATGCACACTCCTGTAATGAGGGCTTTGCTTTGTCCCTGCACCAGACATGTGGGTACAAGGCTGGGTAACTTGGATGTGTGTCTTGAACACCAGTACTGCAGCCCAAAATATCCCTGTCACATAGCCTCATTCCCAGAGCAAGGTAGGGCTGTCACAGTGACAGTGGTGCATCTACTCCCTTCCTTCATCAGTGATAGGGATGCCTAGCTGGGAGTCCTCAGGATCCCTGCTCAGGGTCCCTTCCCAACAGGAGTATGTCCCTGGCCAACTGGTGATCTGCATTAGGGATAGAACAAATCCCACTGGGTTCCAGGCAGATGCCACCATATGGGAATAGTGATGGCCTTCATTCACAGTTTATGGCAGGTATGTTGCTGCTCTTGCACTCCTAGGAAGGAACTCTGAGTTCAGCTTCTGATGCAGGTCCAGCTACAGAACTAGTCTACTCCTGCAGCAGCAAGTCACTGGCCATAGTACAAAACTGCTTCTGTATGCCAAAGCCAGGCTGCAGCTTCTGGGGAGGCAGGAAGTGCTGCCTGCAGCATGGGCACCCCTATGGCGGCACTGAGGAGCCCTGCACGCACTCAGGGCTGGTGCGGGGACACGAGTTCCATCATCCACATCGCCAGGGGATGCCCAGCTACGTCAGGAAACTGGCATGGACAAAGGACCCTGGCACTGCCAGGGGCCAGGTCCCACTCCTACAGGGCGCTTAGCCCAGTCCTGTGTGCGTCAGCCCCCCAGGCATCTGGCAAAGGCTCTCCTCCAGGAGCCAAGGCACATGGGCTGGCTGCCCTGGGGGGTGGCATCCAGCTGCCACTCCCTGGCTGGTGGCTAGGGTCACTTTCCTGCTGGCTCCAGGATTTGCTCCTGCTTGAGGTTGGATGCTGATGGTTTAAACATTTCTGGTGATAATGTGGGAGTCATGCCAGCTCCGAGGGTTTGGGTTAGGGCCGAGTGGAGAGTGGGATGGGAGCTACTGTCACCACCACCACCACAGTGACTGCCTGAACCAGGCTGGTTGCAGCAGTGGGAACCCTTCTTGGCAAGGGTGTAGGTGACCAGCAATGCCACCAAAAGTATAGGTGGGGAGAAGGAGGGTCTGTACATTGTGCACACCCTTATAGCACTTCTTTGTAATGAAGCTGGGCTCAAAGGGACCTGTGCAAGCAGTGCATGGAAAAACATACTTGTTTTTTTCTTTTTTGCCACTCTTCTGTTTTGCACTTGCACAGGTTTAACTCAGAAGGGGTGGAGGTTGAAACCCAAAAAGCAAGTGTCAGAAGACACAGCATGGTGGTGGCTCTCACTTGGCCAACACTGTCCTTCTGTGCCAAAGGGCCATGACCAGGCCTGGCTCTGAATCTTGCCCTTCCATTTCTGAAGCCCTGCCAGCTTTCCCATGTTGGTCACTGTGAACAAGCCAAGACCCACTGCACACCCTCTTATCAATAACCAAGCTGGATGTGTGCCACACTAAGATCTGCACTAATCATTGAGCAATTTTACCTTCAGAACAGATATTTATAAACTGTGCTTTCTGTTTATCCAGCCAGGTGGAACATTTGATAGCTGTCTTTTACCACAAACACATTTTTAGCTGGAAATTACTCCCCCTGGTTATCTGTGAGTGCTGCCAGAGCTGACAAATGTCCCTGGGCAGGAGCTGATTGGCTCTGTGCACCCGGGGCCAACTTTAAATTTCAGCAAAGTGGGCACAAGCTCCACAGTCTGCCACTGGGACCTGCCTCCAACAGGAAAAGGTAATCTTATTTAGCTTCCTGCCCTGTCTCTCCCTAGCCCTTCAGCTCTGCTGTCCCTGAGCAGGGATTCTCCTGCTTTCACTCTGGGCAAGCCACAATGGGGATGGGGACGTCCTGATCCTTGGCTGTGCACATCTCTTCAGCTTACATTGCTTTTGTACTGCTGATCTTTGTGCATGTATTTCCTTCTGGCATTTCCTGTAGCAATACTGGTATGGCTTCAGTCTCTGGGATGGACCTGCAAGCCCAAGCAAGGGTGGTTGGGTGAAAGCCTGCTGCTTTCTTAATTTGGATTTATGAACAGCTTAGCTTGCAGCAACTTTAGGGGATAATTTATTGCAAATATCCACCCAAGCTGCTTTGACAGAAGAAGTTAGGCAGTTTTAATAGCTGGTGTCAGAGTTCCCACTCAGAGCTGCTGGCTATGCCCTAAGCACATGGTGAGAGCATTGCCCTTGTTGTGAGGGATGCAATGAGGCAGGACAATGCCAAGGGCCACTGAAAATCCTGGGAAAAGTCGGGGTCACTGGAAAACCCTGCTGCCATGGGAGCTTTGGGACAGCAGGAGCTTTTAGGTTGTTCCTAACCAGGATTATTGAAGACCACAAGTCCTAGGAAGAAAAACTGCAGCAATGCTTCACTTTGTACCTCCAGGAGCAGCCCAAGATGCAAACACCCCTCGTCTGCTTGTGCCTGTGCTTGCTCAGCACAGCCCTCGCCACACCTGTGAGTATGGCTTTTCCTGGGTTCCCAGCATACTGCTGGAAGCGTGAGATGTGCTATCCAGTGCATCCCGGCATGCTTTCAGCAGTGAGAAAACATGGGTTATAGTTGTGTACACCACCTCTGTTGCTTGGGGAAGGGAGTAAGGTAAACAGCAGAGGTGAGCCCAGAAGAAAAATATTTATTAACAATGAGGTGTCTGAGCATGTTCCTTCAGCTTAGCAATCAGGGCATTGCACTGTCTGGGTGGCTGTACCTCTTCCCCTGAATTTCTGTGGATCTGGGATCTGCCCGGTGCTTTTGGCCTGCAAACAGCCTGAGCCAAGGCACAGGAAGGGAGGTGTGGGAAGGATGCTCATCTTACCCATGTGGGGAACAGTGGTCAGAGGGGCACCCACAATTATTTTCCAGCTCTCCTAATTTGAAATTTTGAGACATTTAACTAAAAACAGGGCAAATTAAGATTAATATAATAGGAGCCATTTTTGTCCTGCATAACTGTTGCTCAGCTTACTAAATACACAGCTAGAGTGAAAGTCTGCTCCTAGAAAAGGTTTGCCTTTTTGTCAGGGTAAGGAGAAGGGAAATCCCATCTTCCCTGAGATAGCCCCTCCCATGTGTGTTTTACCCCTTTCCCATGTATCTTTTACTCCACAGAGCAAGCTCTCACAACCCAGTCTGTAGCAGAGCAGCCCAGGGGAAGGCAATAAATCAGCACAGATTTGCTTTTCAGATAGGAGCACAGATGGCAGCTAATGCTATGCTGTGTAACCAGAGCTGCAATCTGGCCTTTGACACTGTTCACAAACAATGAAACAACCTGGGAATATTCAATACTTTGAGGTGTGTTTCTGTCCCTTCAGCTGGGCTTGGGATGTTTCAGTGATTAATTTTTCTAAAATCAAAGAGGACTCCCCTCCACGGGGCTGTCTCACTCTGGCATGTAAGGAATGCCTGAAATGGCTTTGTGGGGCTCACAGGATGCTCCCACTAGTAGGTCCCCCAACCCTGAGGGACGCACTAGCAAATACCCACCAAAAGATGCCAGGATAATCAGGGAGAGCTGGAAGCCTGCAAGCATGTACAGAAACCCAGCTGTGAGGACACACAGGTTGCTGCTCAGTAGCTTAGTAAACACTGGAAACTCCACCAGTTAACCAGCTCCAGACTCTCATCACAGGCAGATCCAAGCAGTAAGCTGGAGCATTCTTTTGTGAGCAATGGTGCTGTGTATTAAAAATGCTCTGTGGTAAAATCCTCTGCAGAATTCTCTGGGAAAAGGTTATTTGTTATTTATCAACAATACCATATGAAAGCTAGCATGCAATACAATCATGCTGTAGCAAAATTCACAATACTTTTCAGACTCTGGAAATGGGATTTTGACCTTTCCTACTACTGCTGTCTTTAAGTCAGCACCCCAGGTAGTGCCTGGGAATTTGGTGGCTTATCAATGCAGTTTTCCCACCCTTCCCTGAAGGTGGGAAAGGGTGGGTGGTCAGCAGTTGGCACTGGCAGCTGCCTATTTGCTGAGGCAGTGTTTGATGCCTCAGCTCTTCCTTGTGTTTTGCTGCCCACAGGTGCCACTGCCACTGCCTGGGAGAGCTGCTGGGAACTGTGTGGGACAACACCGGGTATGTATCCCTCTGCCGCCTCCTGGGGCCTCAGTGAGTACTGGTGGGACTCTACTGCAGTGCGAGATGCAGAAAGGGAAACTCCTGCCAATGCAATTAATAAGAAAATTGTGGGTTTTGGTTATTTTCTTCCCCACCAGATACTTCTGAAAAGCTGCAACGCCAAGCATGGCTTCTACATTTTCAAATATGTCTACTCATTCTCAACGCGGAGGAACCAGACACAGATAAAGGTAAGGAGGTGGCCAGGGGACACTATGGGACCCTGGCCTTGCTGCAGTGCCTCCAGCAGAAATCCATCACCCTGACCCTTGTGTGTACTGCACAGAAAGAAGAGGCTGACCAGCAGAGTATCATCCCCAGCCACCGGCTGCATGAGGGCAATGCCAGGCAGGAGCCACCAGCTGGGTCAGCTGGGACGGCCCCAGAGCACAGTGACAACAGCAGCACTG